ACAGATAAAACTGTCAAATGTTTGTTGGAAGAGAATTTCCCTAATATGATGAAAGACAAGTATATATTAATTCAAGAAGTTCAACAAACCTCAAACAGGATATACTCCAAAAGAAAATCACGAAGACATATATCATCATCATCAAACTCACCAAAACCAAAGACAAAGAAAGAATCCTGAGAGTAACATGGGAAAATGAAAAGGTTTTGCACATATACAAAGGGTAACCAATAAGACTAAATCCGGATTTCTAAGCAGAAATCATGCAGGTGGGAAGGTAATGGGATAATATATATAAAGCCCTGAAAGAAAAATATTTCCAAACAAGAATTATATACCCAGCAAAACTATCCCTTGAAAAATGAGAGTAAAATTAGGATATTTCCAGATAAGCAGAAATTAAGAGAATTTATTAAAACTGGACCAACCTTACAGAAGATATTAAAGGGAGTCCTTCAGATAGAGAACCAACAACAGCAAACAACAACCAATGATTAACACAAATAATGACATAACCCAGAAACCAACCCAGTTATAGAAGTATCCAAAGTAAAATAAGCTTACATGACTGTATATAGGGAACCAAAGACATCAACTGGTAAATGAGCACAACTATAGGCCAAAAAGGAAATAAAGAGTCTAGTTACAAAACTTCTAAATGTTAAGGAAGTCAAGACAACTGCGAGATAGAAGAGATTGTTTTACACTTGGCAAGAATATTATAAATCACAGTGTAACCTCAAAGAAAAATAATAGGATCAAAAAGGAGCTCTGGTGGCATAGTGCCTAAGGCATTTGACTGCTAACCAGAAGGCTGGTGGTTCAAACCCACCAGCCAATCCTCAGAAGGAAGGTTGGGCAATCTACTTCTGTAATGATACCGCCTTGGAAACCCAAGGAGGGGTGGCTATGAGTCGGATCCAACTTGATGGCAGGGCGTTGCGTTTTTGTTGTTGCATCAAAATGAAAAAGAGAACAAGCACAAATATTTAGCAAATACTAAAAAAATAGCAATGAAGGAGAAGATAATATGATTCATAGAAAAAATGAGTTCAGCACAGAAAAGTATATGAAACAAAGAAATCAGTAACATCACAAAATAATACATAACAAAATGACATTGATAAATTCATACTTGTCAGGAACTACACTTAAATGGATTAAATGCACCACTCAAGATACAGAGTTACAGACTGGATAAGAAAACATGACTGTGTTAGTTAAGGTTGTGTGTCAAATTGGCTAGGTTTGGTTGAGTGGGCTGGGCAGCTAGTGGTAGTTATTTCCCCATGATGAGACTGGTAATCAACTCCATGGTGGGATCTACCACAAGCAGCTGAGTAGCTGCTTTAGGGATGTGGTCTGCTTCCCATATATAAGCAGCAGCTTTGGGAATGGTCTCTAGCTTATGGTACGCTTGAACCCTGCATGTAGTCATGTCATTGTTCAGCAGCCTGCCATGCTCTGCCCACCCTGGGACTTTCAATGGACTTGAATTAATGGTCTACCATGTTGTTTGGTAACATTGGGACTGTGCCTTTTTACTTGTCAACCTTGGGCTTGTCAATATCAGCAGCCAACAGCTGTCTAAGTGAAGAAAAGCCAATAGCTTCAGTGGGCCGGGAGCTGGAGGCAGAGCTGAAGCCCAAGGTTGAGGGGCTCTCACCCAGCCCCTAGAGCTTGGCACTTAGAACTCGGACTGAAAGCCTCCAAACTGTAAGAGAATAAACCCCTGTTTGTTCAGCCATCCCATTTGTGGTATATTCCTGTCACATCAGCACTAGGTAACCAGAACCATGACCCATCAATATGCTGTCTACAAGAGATACACCATAGACACAAAGATAAAAACAGACTAAAAATCAAAGGATGGAAAAAGATGTATCAAGCAAATGGCAACCAAAAAAGGGCAGGGCTGGCAATATCAATTGCTGATAAAATAGACTTTGATACAAAAATGACCTTAAGAGCCAAGGAAGGACATTATATAATGATTAAAGGATCAACTGAACAAGAGGATATAACTATAATAATTATCTATGCACCCAATGAATAAGCCCCAAAATACAGAAATCAAATTTTAACAGAACTGAAAAGACAAATAGATGACTCCACAGTAATAGTAGGAGACTTTAAAATACCACTTTCAATAACACATAGAGCAACTGGAAAGAAACTCAATGAAGAAGCAGAAGAACTAAACAACATGATCAATCAACTTGACCTTATAGACATAAAGCACTTCACCCAACAAAAGCATGATATACAATCTTTTCCAGCACACATGGAACACGCTCCAGGATAGACTCAATAAATGTTTTTTTAAAAAGTAACACACATCCCAGATCACAATGCTATAAAATTAGAAATCAATACTAAGAAGACTGATGGAAAAAGAGCAAACACGTGGAAATTGAGTAATAACCTCCTCAAAAATCACTGGGTAATAGAGGGAATTTAAAAAATAAAAGAAAAGAAAAGAAATAACAAAAATTTGAGCAGAAATAAATGAAATAGAAAAGAGGGATACAATAAAAAAAATTAGCAAGGCTCAAAGTTGATTCTTTGAAAAGATTAAGAAAATCAACAAACCACTGGCAAACTTAACAAAGGAAAAGAAGGAGAAGATGCAAATAACACGAATAAGAAATGAAAGGGGTGATGTCACAACAGAACCAACAGAAGTAAAAAGAATAATATCAGGATACTATAAAGAACTGTATTCCAACAAATTAAAAAACCGAGAAGAAATGGACAGATTTCTAGAAACACACTATTTATCTAAAGTAACACAGACTGAGGCAGAAAATTTGAACAGACCCATAACAAAAGAAGAAATTTAACAGGCCATAAAAAAATTACCAACAAAAAAAAAGTCCTGGCCCAGATGATTTCGATGAAGAATTCTACCAATCATTCAGAGAAGAGTTGACATCAATCCTACTCAAACTATTGCAGAACACAGAAAAGGATGGAATCCTCTCAAGTTCATTTCATGAAGAAAGCATGACCCTGAAACCAAAATCAGACAAAGACACCACTAGACAGGAAAACTACAGGCCAATATCCCTCATAATATAGATGTAAAAATCTTCAACAAAATCCTAGTCAACAGACTCCAACAATATTATAAAAAAAATAATACATAACAACCAAGTGGGATTCATACCAGGTATGCAAGGATGGGTTCAACATCATTAAAACTATCAACATAACCACATGATCATGTAAATAGATGTAGAAAAGGCATATGATAAAATCCAATATATATTCCTGATAAAAACTCTCAGAAAAATTGGAATAGATGGGAAATCCCTCAACATAAAAATGGGCATATATGCAAAATCAACAGCCCACATTAATCTCAATGGAGAGAAACTGAAACCATTCCCCTTGCAAGCAGGAACCAGACACGAATGCCCTCTATCTCCACTGCTATTCAACATTATCTTAGAAATCCTAGCTGGGGCAATAAGGCAAGAAAGGGAAATCAAAGGCATCCAAATTTGTAAGGAAGAAGTAAAACTACCCCTATTTGCAGACGACACAATCATATATATATAGAAAACCCAAGAGAATTAGCAAGAAAACTACTGGAACTTATTGAAAGATTTAGCATAGTGGCAGGATACAAGATCAACATACAAAAACAGTCCAAGGGGACATTCAAGGAAGACAAAACCAACCATTTAAATTATATATTAATAAATTTAACTTCATTGATTTCATTCAAAAAGAAAAGGCCCTCAAATGGCTTTCCATTAAAATTACTAGGAAATTCAAACTCCACATATGATTTATACTCTTGTGACCTCCATCTTCCATGATTCTTCTCTTTTTGTCTATAATCCTATGGCACTAAACCTTCTTTCTGCTCCTCAAAAAATATCCAAGCCCTCTTTTGCCTTTGTACCAGCTATTCCTCCATTTTGGACTCTCTTCTCTCAGATCTTTGAATGGTTCCTACTTATCATTCAGGTCACCTCAGAGAGGCCATGCCTCACCACCCTATTTAATGTACAGCCCCCTGGCTATTGTCACCTCTCGTCCATTATCCTGTGGTAATTACTTCCTAACAGTTACAATCTGAAAAAATCATTAACTTGATTTTTGCTTTATTGTCTGACAACTCTCACTAGAATATAACACAGTAAGAGAAGAGATCCTTAAAAAAAGAAACAAAAGAGATCTTTTTTTCTGGTTTATTACTCTATCTCCAGAATCTAGAGAACAGTGCCTAACACATAGCATATGCCCAAAAAATATTTATCGAAAAATAATGCTTTAATAATTTTTATATCCCAGTACTCAGCGTACTGTCTGGCACATAGCAGGAACTCAACACATGTTGGATGAATGGTGATGCTGGAAAATTAATCTTGAAACAAAATAAAAACAGAGGTCAGAAAATGAAGAACTCTCAATATCAGGACAAAGAACTATATACTGAATTGTAGTAGATTTAATCTTACTTCTGTATTCACTTGCTTATCTCTTCACTTGCCTTTATTTTAAATTGGTAGTGCTTCTAATTTTTTATTTTTTTGCAAGCTCTTTCCTTTAACTTCTGTTGTCAGGAAGTTCATGACATTAATAAAAATTTAGATGTAACTGGTTCTAAATGTACCTTTACTTAAAATAGCACACGACCACTTTGGAAAACATGTAAAATTTTAAGTACCAACAAAATATTACAAATAAAATATATTAGAAAAATCCTGAAATGAAAATATTCTAAGTATCTCCTATAGAATTTCACAGAGAAATTTAATTGGTCTGGAATAATTTTGACTTGCTTAATAAACAGTATAAAGAATTCCAATGGAAAGGCACTAAGTTACTCAGGAAAGCACATCACATATCAAATGAACAACTTTTACTCTGTGAAACACAGTTGTTTTCAATATAACATCTACATATAAATAACTTTTAAGGAAAATAAGGCTAAATTCTGACATGGAAAAATTAAGTATACAAAAAGATATATAAATGATTCTTACTAAGTTATTGTCATCCTGGAAAGCATAGTGCAAAGTCGTAATCCATTTATTGTCTCCATTAACTAATACATCCCTTTCTTCTCGAAAACATGCTGTCTGAAAAGGAAAAGAAAAAAAAATTAGATAGAAAACACTTTATGTAAAATTATACAGTAAGTATATTGTGCAAATAATTGTTTATTGTGTTTATTACACTATTTCTGTCTTGAAAGCATACATGCATATTATATGACTTTTCAGCAGCTCAATGAAGTTGCACAAAAACCTTAAGAAATAGAAAACTGGAACAATACATTATTTTTAAAAAGTCTTTAGTGGGTTTTTGGTTTACACAAAAAATTAGGTTCCCATTTAACAATTTCTACAAATATGGTTCAGTGACATTGGTTAAATTTTGCACATTGTGTCAACATTCTCATTATTCCCATTCTGGTAGAAAAATGTATTTTTTAAAAATCTTATATTAAATATACCATTATAGTTTGTATTTTATAGCAAATGAGATATAAGTTTCAGTCTTCCCACTTCCATCTCATTCTCTTCCCTTTCTCCCCAGATATAATAAATAATCTGAAATTAGTGTATACCCTTCCAATCATATGCTTTGGTTATATACATGTGTCCGTAAAGAATGGTATTGCTATATATTTTGAAAATTTACATGAAAGGTACGATTTCTTTTTGCAGTGTTTCAGCAGAAATTTATTATTTTTACAAAAATATCCCTGCAGTTAGTTATAACAACAAAAACATTTTTCATAAGCCTAGCTTACATGTGTCAATGGACCTAGAAGGCTAAAGCTCTATGCTTTTTAGAAAGGTACAATTTTGTCTATCCCTTTCCAACTTGATTACTTTTTACTCAGTATTATATTTTCAGTATTCATTCATACATGATTGCTTTCCTTTTAAATGCTATAGAATTCCATTGTTCAAATACAAATGGATTTATTTATGCAATGCTCTAATTAATAGATATTTAATTGATTTCCAATTTTTTTTATCAATGCAATATTGCAATGCAAAGATGTACAAACGATTCTCTAGGGTATATACTTAGAAATAGAAATGCTGGATTATAAGCATTTTCATCTTTATCAGAGACAGCCAATTACCACTACCGTATGAAAGAGTCCTTTTCCCTACACTCTGAGATACAATTGGCATTGTTAGATGTTTAACTATTTGCCCATATGAAGAGTGTGAAATGATAATCTTATTGTTTTTGAATCATATTCCTAATTACAGGTGCAGAAGAGTAACTTTACATACGTTTACTGGACATCTGAGCTTTCTATTTCTTTTAACTATTCACACTTTGGCCATTTTCTGTAGTGGATTACCTTGTTATTGATTTGTAAGAGTTTTAATTTATTCTGAGAACAGATTTTCACTACTATAATAGTAATAATAGTATATCTTGAAGAACTATAGAAATGTATGGCTGGAAAT